GTGGCCATGGACTATTTTACCAAGTGGCCGGAAGCATACGCCATCCCAGATCAGGAGGCTGAGACGGTCGCTGATGTATTAGTGGAGGGGATGTTCAGCCGCTTTGGAACAGCAGAGACCCTCCACAGTGACCAGGGGCGTAACTTTGAGTCCAAGGTATTTAGAATAGAATAGAATAGAATTCAACTTTATTGTCATTGCACATGCACAGGTACAGGGCAACGAAATGCAGTTTGCATCCATCCAGAAGTGCTTTAGTGATATAGATATATTACAATATATATTAGCAATAGTATAGATATGTAAGTATACTACAGAAATGGGTCTATTATGGTATGTTATAATGTACACGGTATGAAGTATGTTGTGAATATTCTATAACTAAGTATGTAAAGGCTGTAGTGAGTACAAGCTATGTACAGGCTATGAACAGGATATAAATATGAAAAACTATACAGAATATGAAATAAATAACTTTACAGAAATCTGAGATATACAGCTATACAGAAATGGGAACTATGCAAGTTGTAAACAGTTGTAGGATTAAAGATTATTGAATGTACAGAATGATTATTTACACAGAGCTATACAGTAGTGCAGTTAAGATAAGTGAGGGTGTAGATAGTTTCTACAGAGGCTATATAAAGTGCTAGTGGTTGTGAGTGGTGGTTCACTCCATGTTATTATTGTGTGTTTGAGGGTACAGTTGTCCATTGTGGGTGTGTGTATGTTCAGTCCATGAGTTTAACGTGGGTCAGATGTCAGGAGGCAGAGTTCAGGAGTCTGACAGCTGTGGGGAAGAAGCTGTTCCGGTACCTGGTGGTCTTAGTCCGGAGGCTCCTGTGGCGCCTCCCAGAGGGCAGGAGGGTGAAGAGTCCATGTGATGGGTGACTGGGGTCTTTGATGATTTTCCCAGCCCTTTTCAGACACCGCTTCCTGTAGATGTCTTTTATGGCAGGAAGTGGTGCTCCGGCGATGCGCTGGGCAGTTTTCACGACCCTCTGCAACGCCTTCCGGTCCGAGGCAGAGCAGTTCCCGTACCAGACTGTTATACAGTTGGTCAGGATGCTCTCGATGGTGCAACGATAGAAGTTCACCAGGATGTCTGAGGACAGGTGGTTCTTCCTCAGGGTCCTCAAGAAGAAGAGGCGCTGGTGAGCCTTCTTGACCAGCTTGGAGCAGTTGGTCATCCAGGTGAGATCCTCGGAGATGTGGACTCCCAGGAACTTGAAGCTGCTCACACGCTCCACAGCCGTCCCCTTAATGTGGATGGGTGGATGTGGGTCAGCATTCCTCCTGTAGTCCACGATGAGCTCCTTGGTCTTCTCGGTGTTAAGCAGCAGGTTGTTTGTGTCGCACCACTCAGCCAGACGATCCACCTCCTCCCTGTAGGCGACCTCATCGTTGTCACTGATGAGGCCAATCACCGTGGTGTCATCTGCAAACTTAATGATGGTGTTGGAACCATCAGCAGGTCTGCAGTCGTGGGTGAAGAGGGAGTAGAGGAAAGGGCTCATCACACAGCCTTGTGGTACACCGGTGTTCATTGTGATGGTAGATGAGCAGTGGTTATCCAGCCGGACATGTTGGGGGCGGTTGGTCAGGAAGTCCAGTAACCATTTGCAGATGAGGGAGCTGATGCCCAGGTCTGTCAGTTTCCTGATGAGTTGTGAGGGGTGGATTGTGTTGAATGCTGAACTGAAGTCTATAAACAGCATTCTGGCGTAGGTGTTGTTGTTGTCCAGGTGTGAGAGGACAGAGTGCAGTGCGATGGAGACTGCATCCTCTGTGCTCCTGTTCTGGCGGTATGCGAATTGGTGGGGGTCCAGGGTGGGGGGGAGACAGGATTTGAAGTGTGCTAGGACCAGCTGCTCTAAGCACTTAGTGATGATGGGGGTGAGTGCTACTGGGCGGTAGTCATTGAGGCAAGATGGGTTGGAGTTTTTGGGTATCGGGACGATGGAGGTGGATTTGAAGCAGGCCGGTACCACAGCGTGGGCCAAGGACAGATTGAATATGTCTGTGAGCACTCCTGCAAGCTCCCCAGAACACGCTCTGAGAACACGCCCGGGGATGCCATCTGGACCTGCAGCCTTGTGGACATTGATCCTGCTCAGCACCGCTCCTACATCGGTGGGGGAGAGAGTCAGAGGTTGGTGGTCTGGCGTCATGTCTGCTTTAGTTGTGGTTGTGGGGTTCCCTCGCTCAAAACGAGCATAAAAGTTGTTGAGCTCGTTGAGGAAGGAGACATCAGAGGATGCGGGGGAGGGTTTGGTGGTCCTGTAGTCTGTAATGGTCTGGAGTCCTTGCCACATGCGTCGGGGGTTGGAGTTGGAGAAGTGTTCTTCTACCTTCTTTTTGTAATGGTGTTTGGCTTTTTTGATGCCCTTCTTTAGATTAGCCCTGGCTGTGCTGTAGGCGTGTGCATCTCCTGACCTAAAGGCGGTGTTGCGGGCCTTCAGGAGGAGACGAACATCCCGGTTCATCCAAGGCTTCTGGTTGGGGTACATGGTGATCCGTTTCTGGGTGGTGACACTGTCTGTGGTTTCGGAGATGTAATCCAGTACAGATGAGGCGTACTGGTCCAGGTCTGTGTGGGTGAACATATTCCAGTCTGTGTTTTTAAATCTGTCCTGGAGCACTGCGTCTGTCCCCTCTGGCCACACTTTAATTGTCCTCACAGCAGGTTTCACACGTTGGATGAGTGGTGAATACCTAGGTGTGAGGAACAGGGAGAGATGGTCCGATTGTCCAATGTGGGGGAGGGGTGTGGCTTTGTTGGCTCCAGCCAGGTTGGAATACACATGGTCTAAAGTCTTGTCTCCTCTGGTGTGGCAGGAGACATGTTGGTGGAATCTGGGGAGGACTGTCTTTAAGTTGGTGTGGTTGAAGTCGCCAGCAACAATAAAAGCAGCCTCGGGGTGTTTATTCTGGTGTTTGTTAATGGCTGCAGAAAGTTCTTTCATGGCTAGCCTAGCATTAGCATCGGGGGGGATATACACGGCAGTGAGTATGATTGAAGTGAGTTCTCTGGGGAGATAATAAGGTCTGCATTTGACCATTAGAAACTCCGCATTAGGTGAGCAGTGACTCTCAGTAGTAGTGGAGTTCATACACCAAGCATTGTTAATATAAATGCACAAACCTCCACCTCTGGTCTTGCCGGAGTCATCTGCTAGCCTGTCGGCTCGGTGTGTGTGGCGTCCTGCTAACTCGATAGCATTGTCCGGGCAGCTGTTGTTCAACCATGTTTCGGTGAAAAACATGACATTTGAGTCCATAATCCGTCTGTTGTTAGAGATGGAGAGCCGTATCTCATCCATTTTGTTTGCCAGAGAACGGACATTGGCGAGGAAAATACTGGGTAAAGGCAGCCGGTGTGGTGTTAGCTTTAGCTTAGCCCGTAGCCCTCCGCGCCTACCTCGCCTTTGTTTACGATCTCGGCGCCGTCTGCGTGCACTTCCGCCCGGCCGGGGAGAGTGGGCAGCCTCCGGTGTTCTGGAGATCTCTGGGATGAGTCGGAGATCGGCGATAAAACTGTTGGAGTTGTGAGTCCAGATGTTTGCTGCCATGTGTGAACGCCTTGGGACTAAGAAAACCCGCACCACCCCACTTCACCCCCAAAGCGATGGGCTGGTGGAAAGGTTTAACAGGACGCTGGCCCAGCAGCTAGCCATCCTTACCTCAGAACACCAACGGGACTGGGATTACCATCTTCCCCTTACCCTCATGGCCTACAGGTCGGCAGTGCAGGACTCCACCCAATGTACGCCTGCCCTGCTCATGTTAGGGAGAGAGCTGAGAACTCCTGCAGAGTTGGCTTTTGGGAAACCCCCGGACGCGCCAGAGGCACCACCGGGCCGGGACTACGCAAGGAAGCTGCAGGACCGGCTGGATTCTGCACATTCCTACGCCCGAGAGCAGCTGGCGAAGGCAGGCCTGCGCCAAAAGAGGAATTACGACATCACCACTAAAGGGAGGCACTTCCGTGCTGGGGAGCTGGTGTGGGTCTACAGCCCAAAGAGGAAGAAGGGATGGTGTCCTAAACTGGATAGCAGCTGGGTGGGGCCTTGCAGCGTCCTAGAGCGTGTGGGGGAGGTTGTTTACAGGGTGCAGTTGCCTCCTAGGGGGAGGATAGTAGCGCTGCACAGAGACCGGATGGCCCCCTACAGAGGACAGTCCCTCCCCTCCTTTCCGGAGAGACGTGTACAGAGCGTCCATGACCCTGCTCAGAGGGGCCCCCGACCGGGGCTGCATTCCCCCCCCCCTCGGACTCTTCACCCCAAAGCCCCGAAGCTCTGCGTCCTCCTCAGGGGCTCAGGAGGTCAAGGAGGGAACGTAGGCTACCGCCCCGCCTCAGAGACTGTGTCGTTCCCTCGGGGACGAGGAACTTATTGCTGGGGGGGGCAGTGTAACGATGGTTAAGTGTTACTGGACAGTGACATGTTGGTTTTCTCTGCACACTGTTGTTGTTGCTTTAAGATTCGTGTTTGGTTGGGCTGCAGGAAGTAGTGAGGGTGGTGTACAGGAAGGGGTGGGGGGACCTGGTTGTTCTGTGTGTGTGCCAGGCTGAAGAGAGGTGTAGTTCAAGAGCGCTTCCCCCTGAGTTAACAACCCGCTGGCTTATGTGCCGAATAAACGGACAAACTGAGACCCCAACCGTCTGGTTCTTGTGAACGTTACAGTATTCTTCTTTGCATTGATTTTTCATCTATCTTGTTTTTTATTCTAATTCTGGTTAGAGTCCCCCTAGTGGTGGAAGAAAAATCCACAGAATAGGGCTTTGGAGCATGATGTCACGGGGGTGGGCGTGGAAAGGATTTTAGCCCGATTCACCATTTTGGGGGTCTAAGCTAGAAGCGATAGCATAGCCATAGTTCGTACTTGCTGTGTGCTCGGCTGCAATGTTCGATCTTACGACCGGCACGGGAATAAGGTTGGATTGTCTTTTTATGCTTTCCCAACCTGGAAGCAACATGAAGGAGCTCATGTATCGGATGTTACCAAACGAAGGCGTCTAGCCTGGATAGCAGCCGTGAGACGAGTTGATATCAAGTTCTGTTACGTCTCCAGATATCAGCTGGTGTGCTCACGACATTTTCATTCCGGTAAGTTCTAAATATGTTCTTATCACACTTTATAGCTGAATAATATTACCATTGGTGGTCTCGGAAGTTATAGAAATAGCGATCAAACATCGAATGGAGTGACTTTGCAGACATATGTGCTATGTAACGATTCGCTAATTGTTTCGCACAACTGTAGGGAAGCCTGCCTATGAAATGGATCAAACAAATCCAGACCGGGTACCAACGCTACACATGGGGCACTCCGAAACCCGAACATCACATTCAGACCGTCACAGGAGGCGAACACAACGTCAACAAAATAAAGTACTATTTGGAGGTAAACGACAACCGCACGCCCCAGCCACAGTCTCTTATTTTAAAAATTGATCTTAGTCAATTAACACAAACATTTTTGAGTATTCATACGGCCTTAATGTATAAACCATTTAAAACTTCCCTTGTGTATTTGCACTCTTTTTATTGGACAGGCTTTGACAATGGAGCAGCAGAGTGTGAAGGTGAAGCCTCAGCAGAAGTTACCACAGAAGAGCAGCCAGAGATGGACACCACCGAAGAGCAACACCATAACAACCTTGTTATTTTGGCTGAGGGACAAATTTGTGCTGGACAAGTAGAAGCAGAGGTAACGGGTGCAGATGCAGAAAACATTGATATCAGAGAGAAACAGACAGAAGATCAACAACTGACAAATGATTGTGTGCGCTGTGTACAGAGCAGAGCAGAAATAAACCGGCTGCTGGAGGAGAACAGAAAGCTTAAATCAAAGTTGGACAAGACAGAGCTGAATGAAAACTTTTTAAAGGGTGACACGGAAAAAGTGAAATATTACACCGGTTTTACTTGTTTTGCTATTTTTATGTCCGTGCTCGAGAATGTAAAAGCTTTCCTACCAGCATCAAAGAAACTGTCACATTTCCAAATGCTTTTACTCACACTTATGCGACTTAGACTTGATCTTCCTGTTCAGCATCTTAGTTATCTATTCAAAGTCTCCCACAAAACTCTTTCTTCTGTCTTTTCTGATACAATTGACGTGTTGTATGCCCGCTTTGGAATACTTGTACACTGGCCAGAGAGGCACTGTTTGCAAGCAACAATGCCACCAGAATTTACAGACACTTTTGGAAATCGTGTAGCCATCATTGTAGACTGTTTTGAAATTCGTACAGAACGACCATCTAATTTAAAGGCTCGTGCTCAAACGTACTCACACTACAAGGGTACACACACCATGAAATATCTGATCGGGATTACTCCACAAGGTGCAATTTCATTCATTTCTAAGGGGTGGGGGGGCCGTCATCAGATAAACACATCACAGAGCAATGTGGCATACTTAACAAGCTGTTACCAGGGGATGTAGTTTTGGCTGACAGAGGCTTTGACATCAGAGATGCGGTGGGAATGATGTGTGCGGAGGTAAAGATCCCAGCATTTACAAGGGGCTTCTGTGAACTAGATGCCAAGGACATAGAAAATACACGAGCCATTGCACACCTAAGAATCCATGTTGAACGAGTAATTGGCAGTTTGCGCAACAAATTTAAAATGCTACATACTACCATGCCAATCCGTTCTCTTCTTCCATGTGAGGGTGAAGACGTTACATTCCTTGATAAAATTGTGAGGGTGTGTTGTGTTTTGGTTAACATGTGCCCCAGTGTGGTAGTGAAACCAGGCACACATGAGACTTGTACTTGTTAATTAATAATTGTTTAAAAAAGGAAAACCTTTTTAGTTTTTTGTATGCGTGACTGTATGAACACATTGACATTGCGTTATGTAACCATTTCTGTACCTGTATACTATAAGCGAAAGTTTATCATCACTTTGAACTCTTTGTTTAACTAAAATTACGTTATAATAAAAGCAAGATAACAAATAACTGCTTTGCACTCTTTATTTCACACTTTGACAATTGGTACATGGTAAGTGCTGCACGTTTGAAATCAAGTTATACATATTTCAATGCACTTCTGGCAAAAAACTAGACACCAGAAGAAAAAACGTTGTGACCACTCGGGGCTGCATTTCGCTTAGAGAAATGTTTTCCTACAAGTTCAGGAAGGCACACCTTCTGAAAGAAATCCTGAGCTTTCTTTAAATGTGATTCCCAGAAGTGCACATCTGGGAAGATGCGTAAAATTGCCATGTCTTTTTGTGTCCATACCACGAGGTCACAGTGCTTTGCGTTGGCCACAAAGACCTGTGTTTGCACTTGTGAGTAAAAGCGATGTGTCTTCTTCAAGTTAAGTCCTTTTGCTGTCAACTCGAGGCAGAAGTCTTTGTCATGTGCATTCAACGCTTGCTGAATGCTGTCACATCTGTATTTAAATGGACATTTAATTTATAGGCACCCCTTCCCACAGCATTCACACGTGGTTAGTCCATCAGGAGATGCTCCTACTTCAGGAAAAGCCATGTTAACAAGAAAACCACACATACGGACCTGTAGGTTGTTGTGACATGCTGACATTGTCTGGGTGTAGGCATGTCGAGCATCCTGTTCATGCTCCAGTCCCCAAGTTGTTTGCACATTACAGACAGAGTTAACAGGGTAGCAAACACGATTAACCACAGTAATGGCGGGTTTTTCTACAGTGGTGGCAAACACAGCGTGCATCATTGAAGCGGTGATCCTCCCAGCACGCCAAACATACCATTCTGGGCTCTTGTGTTGCAGTCTTGTGCGTACCTCAATAGCTTCTGCCTGTTCTTCAGTTACTTTAGCTGTGTTTATGTACTTTACGCAGTGCAGTTGTAGCTCGGTAAGGCTAAGGGACTGTGCACCTGTGCTGTGCAAACACGCCAGAGACAGTGGTAATGTGGATGACTATACAGTGTGTGATGTGTAGTATTTCTCCAATCCAGACAAACACACTGCTTTATTGTGTTTTTGAAGTGTGTCTAACACTGGTGACAACTCCTCAAACGTAGCAGAGGGAATCTTTCTTTTTGAAGGACGGCTTCTTCTGCCTTTCACCACAGACGGTCCGTTTATATTTTCATCAAGAGTCTTTTTTTGTGCTGCTGAAGATGTAAAGTCAATGTTATGGCCAACCTCTGGCTGTATCTTGGCTGTGTTCCCCGGCAAAACCCAGTAAGCTGGTTCATCTGTGACTGTCTTTGTGCCACGTATCCTCACTGTTGCCTCCACTTTAAACAGAAGTGCAGCGACATGGGTGCAGGTCTCAGCAACACCGGCCATACAGGTGCAGTGTGCAGTTTCGACCTTCCCTGTGGTGCTTACAATTACCCATGGTTGTAATGCAGGTTCATTCAATCTTTGGGAGTGCAGTACCTGTAACATGCAAGGACAAGGTTGATGTAAAGACAATAAATGAAATGAGACAGGGAGGACACTGATTGGCGTTAATAATTTGCCCGATTATCAATGTGTTAATTTGCATCTACTATACAATTATGGGCACATAATATGATAACGATATTTTAGCAGTTCAATGATAGAGGTATAACATTAATTATGGTGGGGGGTGGAAAATGGCTATGTCACTCGATGCACTCCAGCTGACTTACCTTGGTATGAATGACGACGTACTCAGAGTTTGGCGGCTTGAAAATAGCCAAATCTTGCACCCAGCCATTTGTAAATTGGATGTGCGCCTCCAGTGACTTGTAATTACGAAACTGGTTCGCAGTGTAAGCACTTACTCCACAAACAAGATAGGTGAAGATATCGGGGTAGGACAGTGGCGGTAAGTCGTCTGGGTCTTTACTCCACTGCCGTGTGTCGTATGGGTCCAGATTTGCGATGCACTCTATTTTTTTCAAATACCGCTGCTTCGCCTCTGGATGCAATCGATCTCTATACCGTTCGTTTTCTTTCGAGCTGCTTTTAAGCATGTTTCTTGTCATAGTCGCCGTTCCAATACAGTGTTTGTGTTTGGATCGTAGACCCCCAAAATGGAGCTGCGCTCCCACAATGCATTGCGGCGTGACGTCAACTCCAAAGCCCTATAGCCGCACCTTTGTATAAGCCTCATGGCTCAAAACCTAGGGAAAAAGTAGCAGCTTATAGTCCAGAAAGTACGGTACTTATTTTTAAATCCCTGTAGAACTGGAAACACGTATGGTAGTGCAATAATTTTTTTGCATGTGAAACCGGAGGAGTTGTACTTACATCTTATACCATTAGCTTGTCCTATGTCACAGTTTCCTTCCACATATAGCTTTGCAAAAATTGCATAAGAAGCACTTGCAGCAACAAAAAGATAATATTCCAGAAATACGCTTTGCTGATGTTCATAACACTTCCTACGCTGGCATATACGTCAGCGCGAATTATCGCATGTCTGCCATTACCTGCCCGAAACTGGAAGTGACGTCATCTTAGCGAAAGGGCCTTATAAGCCTATGTTGATGTTTTTAAAAGTCATGTTTGACTTTATGCTTTTCTGTATCGTTTCTGGGATGCTTAGAACTCAAATTACACTGTTGGAAATATTATAATGCATCAAAATAAACTATTTATTTTCATTTTTCCTGTAGTATATAAAAATTAGTGTATCTCAAAAATAAAACTATGAAGACACTCAAAATAAATTAACTCATGGTTGGAAACTTTTCTATTTACAGTTTTGAGGGATACACCTCTTAATTTTTTTAAACTAAAAATATGTGTAAAAAACAAAACAAAAAGATTTTCAATTTTTTTGTAGTTTATTGCACTACAAGTTTTTCCAATGTATGTAGTTACTATGGACCTAATGCATACATATGCATATATCAAGGGCGTAGATTTGGTTTTGGCATTGGTGGGGACCACCGAACCCTGCCCTGTTTCTTTTTTTTCCTTTTTGTCTTTGCTTCTTGATAAAAAAAAGGAGAATTATACTTGCCTACATATGCTATTCTACATGCTTTTAAACCATTTAAAATTAAAAGTCATAGTTTTATATGTGAATTATATAATGTTAAATTACAATTAAACAAATGACTGACTAAGTATTTTAGACTTTAATTTACTTTAGCCATATTCCATATAAATCAGGTATCATACAAAAATAAAAATAGTCATGACAATAAAAGATTATGACTTTAAGGACTTAACAACATTGCTTCAGTTACACCAACATCTCTTATATACATGTTAAGAGATGTACTCTAAAACACTTCTTCAGCAGAAACTCAGAGAAGAGAAACACACAGAACTTCTTGCTAGCAAGGGCAGCCTCCAGACTGAGAGACTCGCACTGAGAAACTGCCCCGGTCTTTATTTATACTTCAGTGGGTGCTTGCATGTGTGTGTGTGTGTGTGTGTGTGTGTGTGTGTGTGTGTGTGTGTGTGTGTGTGTGTGTCCCCATAACACCCTGGAATGTTACAGACCTCCTAGGATGAGACATTCTTTCAATATGCCACCAACTATATACTTCTAAACACAAATGATTACATGCAGTATTCTACCATATGCAAACTTATATAATTAAAAGATTATACTGACTACTAAGTACAATTTTCCATTGACAATACATTAGCACTAAGGGAACACTGAATGACCTGCTGGTTTTTGTCCATAAAACTACTCATGTAAGATGACCACAAAGTAAAAGATCTCTCAGCAAAATTATGCAAAATTTTAGGCACTATTGCCCCGATCAAATCAGTGAGCTGGGATTTTTTATTCTAAACATGAACTACTGTTACAGCAACAGACATGGACTACTGGTGTCCCACACAACAACTCAATGTCCACTATGTGAAGGGGCCACACACATGCCTTCTCCTCTTGTTAACTGAGATAAACTGTTGGCATGTTTGTTTTACATCTATACTGTCCAGTCTCTCCTGGTGGACATACAGCAGAATTGTTTAATCTAATTTGAGTCATTGTTGACCACGTTAGACATATCATTTTAACAGCCTCTGTAAACTAATATCCTGGCTGCTCGAGGCTGCAGTTTTCTCTGACAGTTTCGATCAAAATTAGAAATGCTGCTCTGAGACTGAGAGAACTAATAGTGCCGCCTGTTGTGCAGTTAGTTTCCAAAACACGTTATTCATGGTTACATACAGTTTTAGACTGATGTGGGTCAAAGCCTAGCATAGCCTGTAACGTTATTATGACAGGTGAACAATAGTCAAACCAGATGTTTCCCCGTTATGTCGATATCAGCTAGTCAAGTACACACCTACACATACATGTTAACAAACCGTGAAAAAAAGCCACACAAAAATGTGTAACGGTTTCTATACATTAGCATTTACGAAGGGTATGTCGTGACTTACCTTCAAAATTACAGCGGTCCCTCGCTATAACGCGGTTCACCTTTCACCTCGCTGTTTCGCAGATTTTTTAGTGCAAGTTTGCATGCTTTTTTTTACGTCACATTGTGTCCTGCATCCTGATCGCTGCAGACGATCTCCTCCGTGACGTCTCTCCTGTACAGTACAGAATCGCTGCATCGATCGCCAGCAGTGTGACTCTGAAGTGCGGTACTGGATGTCGATGAAACGCTTTGCACCGTCAAAAAATAAAATTGGCTACTTGATTTCACCTATCGCTGGTTATTTTTAGAACATAACACCCGCGTTAAATGAGGGACCGCTGTTTACAGATACTGTAAAAAAATATCGACAACTCGATGAACATCATTTACAGATATATTGGGTAAATGCCCAAGACATCTATAGAAATGTAAATCGCCACTTGATTCATTCATTTGTTTAACTTGTTTTGGACTGT